GCACCGCTCATCAGCCTGGAAGAGATAACTGAGCTATGAGTCTTGCAGACCACCAGGATGACTTGCAAAATCAACAGCAATATCTTGAAGACAAAGGCACATGCTGTCCAGAGAGGTCTTTGAGAACACCACTGTCATTACAACTTTCAGATTTAAATTAGGTTAATTTAGATGTAGATTAATCTTCAGATGTAATTTTTAGATTCAGATCGCCTCTGCCACTCAGAGGCAACTGGACAACCAACAGCAGCTACTCCACTTCCTCAGAGCAGTGTCACCATCCCCTCCTTCCTCAACAGGCAGCACAAAGTTTAGAGCGTAATCCAGGGGATAAATCCATTCCCTTGTCGAAATGAAGAATGCATATATAACACCAAGTCCCAAGGCAAGGGGAAAACAAATGCTTTCATTGGCCTTTTTATTAGGAGTTTGTCAAAATATAATAGGGAGAAGGTTTGAATGAACATTGGAGATATAGGAGCTATAAGAAAATACAGAAACATAGTGTGAGATTTTATATGTGATTCAAGGTGTGGTAAGCTTCCAGCTCATCTCTTAAATTTCACTCTAGGGTTGATGTCAAGCAAAGAGCAGCCTGCAATACTTTGCTATGAACTATACTTTGACCTCCTCATCTAATCCTCCACAGCATTTCCAGCTGCCAGGATTGCTTCCTTCCCTCCTCTACTAACAGTCATGCTGAGATGAGTGCCTACTAACAACATCTGAATGACAAAATGAATGCACTGAGGCCTCATCTGCACTCAGCAACGTGTCAGCAGACAGGTATGAAGTTGACAGGCAAGTACAAGATGTCTCAAAGGACTTGTAGTTCACTGTATTAATACAAAACTCCTCTAAATACTTACAGAGATACGGGAGCCAGCTCTTGCCCTTGCTACGGTCTCTTTTTCCTTCTCTGACACTCGCCTCTGCACTGCCTGGAAGTTGTTTAAGGCCGTGGAGAAGTCATTCATTAAACGTTCTTTCTGAAGCCTCTGCTGGCGCTGGAGAATTGAAACACAACCAAGTGTTGAGAGATTCCCATTCATGATAACAGAACTGTCAGACTCAAACACCCCGTTCCCATCACAGTAACAACACTGAATGCTGGCAGTCAAGTCATCTTTTGGTTCCAGCATTCCGGGGCACTGGAAAGAGCAAAAATATTTTTATTCCTTGTACCAAATGCTCTACCCCTTGCCTCCTGCAGAACAGTTTTTTGTAATAAGGTCCACTCATTTAAATCTAGCTTTAAGTCTGAATTAGAGAGGTCTTCAACACTATTACTTTTATTCAAATCACATTCCAGTAATCTACCACACTTAATTATGAGCCTTTTTGATACCAATAAGGCCTTCACCCTGCATTTCTCTACTTAGCCAACCTGGTAGTAATTAACTTTCTCTTGTCCTGATAAGACAATGCCCTTACCTTTCTTATAAATATAGGAAGCCCTATGTTTCCAGAACTAACACCACCCATCATCCCAGTTTCCCAGGCTGTCTCTCCCAGCTGTGCCACATGACAAGCCTGCTGATACTTGATCAGAGAATATCCTCAGTCCTGATAACAATTTCAGTTTATCTTTTCTCCAAATACAGTAGTTTTAATATTCCTTTTCATCTTCATTTTACAGCACCAACTTTTTTAGCCTCCACAGAACATGTCCTTCAGGTGTTGTGACACCCCACTTGTGGCAAACGAGAAGCTGTGAAGAAGCTCATCCCAAGGATGCTCAATACTCTGGTCAGTTCTTCTGATTTCTGTCAGAGAGATTCCCTAAAGCTGTCATAGATTGCAGGCTTTACAGTAATGCTGTCCTTCAACAAGTCTGGATCAATTCAACAGCCATTTCACAGAAATAAATGTTTTCCATTAATTTTGTCTATAATAAACCACTACAGCAGCACCACATTACACTGCAGCTTCCATCTGAGCTGGCTGGAAGCAGTAACCCTTCTGCCAGAGGAGATCCTCAGCATGTTGATGTGAGCTCCTGCAGGTTTGGACTGGACTGTTCCAAGAGGCTTCCCTAGGCTTCAAAAGTCACCCCTGCATTCTGTGGGATGCACACGACAGGATTTGTTTCACCAGAGGGAGGATGACTGAAAAATATTTGCTGAACCAACAGGCAAAACATGGCCATGCTTACAGCTGGCATTTAAACCTTTAAATACAGAATTAGACTAAGACAACATCTGCTGACCCATATCCACAGATCATCCCACAACAGTATCATCAAAGCAGATCCATCAGTATTGTGGCAGTGACTTAAAGTGGAGCAAGACAACGCCAGCCACAGAGGACTGTTCCTTCCCTGTCCCACAAGGAAGGGGAACTCAAAGGGCTATTTTGCTTTACTCAGGTATGAGCAAGGTAAGTCAGCTTCCCCTCCACCCCCTAAATCACATCCAAGGGAAAGCTTTTTGTTCTGACATGCAGTTTGCTGTGAGTTCTTATCCTAAAACACTGCCTCACATCACCTGGCAATTGGTAAACAGGAACTTTTAAAAAAATATTATTAACAAAGAGATTACTATTAGAAAGACTATTATTAAAGAAGGATTATTTATTCAGAAAAGTAGAATTGCATACTCAGCTCTACCCAGACGTTCAGGGCTTCTTATTCTCACGCAGTAAAGTTTATGTGTATTTGCCACAGGGAAACACTGTTCTCCCAGTGTCATATAAGCAGCCAGGACACAGCCAGTTCAATGTGTTTCCCCACTTCAACAGCATTCTTCATTGCAAAAGGCTGCTGGCTCTTCAGCTCTGTCAGTTCAAGCTTTGTGAGGCTGTGGTTTCATTGAATGAGTGATTTAAAAACAGGTCCAGACAAATTCTGTGTGCCCACCTGTTCAGAAGCAGACAGAGGGAGTGGCAGAGACCCCAACTCCTTCAGATACTCATTGGTCTCCTTGGCCAGGCGGTTTGCAGAGTGCTGTAGCTGTTGTCTGAAACAAAGTTCAGAAGCAGTTATACAACCTTCTACCTAAAAAGCAGTCTCTGAGCACTTCAGTTTCCAAAATAATGACGAGGTAGGGGTTCTGAGATCACACATCTTTATACTGGTGTTTTGGGGGTTTTTTTCACCCTAATGGAACAGAGAGATACTTTTAGCTTCTACCATCTACTTGACTCTGGACTACGTTTTAAAAAAAAGATTCAAACATGTTCTGTGCTCCCTGCCAACTAGTATAATTGAGTAGTTTTTAAAAGATTTTTTTTCTCCAATGGCATAAGAGAGAGAAATTCAAGAGGGAGAACTTTATTCAGTGAACACACTCTTTTAGGGTGAATTCCTTGGAATACCAATTGGTAACTAACTGTTCACTTGACAACTTCCAACTCCATTGGTTAAATGTACATTTGATAAAGGTACAGACACTCAGAGATATTAAACTCTTACATTTTTCTGAAAATGAATGGTGAGAGAGAGGAGTGATCCAGGCTGTATCAAACTGAGTGCAAAGACATGACCTTGCACATCAGAGATGCAGTTCATCAGACAGAATGCCAATGCCTCACAGAGAACAGAGCCACGAGTTTTGTTCTGCAGCCATATGGACAAAAATGCTAAATCAAGAACCAAGTTTCTTGGCATTCAGTGGCTACATGGCACTGAAGGGAACGTTGCCCATGCAGCCCAGCAGGTACACAGATGAAAGCATTCAGTTCCTGGATATGCTGACCTGCAATATGGGAGCTGAATAAACCACCCCTGCGTTTCTGTATTGCATCTGCAGGGCAGCTGACAATTTGTGGAGTGCAACCACTCCCACCATAAAGAGGAGGGCTGTTTCTACAGTGAAATGACATAGAATGACATTTCTTTGGTCACGAGTGATTAGTTCTTTAATCTACTGATTAAACACAGGTCAAGTCAGCTGAGCAGCTCAAGCAAACCAATTCCTTTCTCCCGCAACTAGGCTCTGATCTCATCCTCCAAATGCAGCATATGGGGCTATAAACACAATTTATGAACTTATCAAAAAATCAGCTATTATAAAAAATGGTGAAGCTGCATATTCAGAGATTCACAGTAGTCACATGATGAGATAATGGAAGAACTTACTTTCGAGTTTCTTTTATGACTCCAGAAATTATTCTTCTCATAACCTGCTATTTATGCTTTACAAGTTTGCAAAAGATTCAGAGAGACACAGACTCCCTGTGGACTCCCTAGGAGTCAGTTTGGACTATGCCTGTTTAAATGTATTCTATACTGTCCTCCATCAGCATGTTGTTCTTCTGAAATTACCTGTGACATTCTAGCTGCCATACAGGATCACTGATTGTTGGCCAGTAAACTGCTCAATGCAGCTAGTCAGTTTTGGTTTGTAGGAATGTATTAAATTTATTTAATAAAGCATCTCCTCAAAGCAAGTGACTCAGTTCCTCTAAGAATACAGACAGAAATGAAAGAGAACCTACACAAGTGTTAGTTCATTTCATACTTACAAGTTCTCCTGAAGCTTGCTGGAATCCTGCTTGGTTCCCAGCTGGCTCATCAAATTCTTTATCTGAGCAGCTGAAAATAAAGAGACCACAAGATGAATCAGTAAGACAAGTCCTGGTGTATTTTATTCCTTTCTTGAACGTGTTCTTCTACCTTTCCCCAGAGGATTTCTCTCAATTTTTAACTTAAGTTGGTAAGACCACACTTACATTCTTTGCTTTAAATGTAAAGTGTATTTTAGAATCCCCATTTAGACAGCCCAACAGAGTAAGCTGCAGGTAAGGAAGCGACAGCAAGGCATACATACCTTGAAGACACGTCTGTGGAGCTAAAAGCTTGTGCTACTCCTCTTCCTCAGCCTTTCTAGACCAACTAACATAGCTGTTGGTTTCTACCAGCCTTGCTATTTCTGTATCTTAGCCTATCACTGCTGCAGAACAGCTTTACTATGTCCCTCACTACTTTTACTTACTCTAAAGTTTACTTAAATTATTAATGCTCTGTTAAAAAAAAAAAAGAAGAAGAAAAAGCCAAGGGCGGCTGTAAGTTGAAAAAATTTTTAAATCTGAATTTTTCTACTCATGGTAGCCCAAACCTTTCACAATCCTGGCACAAACTCTCTGTTCAAGAACAGCAGATAGCAATGGTGTACTTCACAGCTAGCGTGCACCAGTTTGAAATCATGCAGCAAGAAGAGATATTCTAGTCCTCTTTCTCTCTTTCACTCTTTCTCCACAATCTGGGGTTTTCCTTGTGCATTTTCCTTGTGTAGACACTGCTGATCATGTAACCACACAATGAATCACATCAAACTGTTAACCCACCCTGCAAAATGCACACACTGTCTTCCCTCCCCACCTCCTCGACCTTCGGCAGTTATTCTGTTGACAGACCAACAAGCTTTCCTCTTCATTCTGCAGCTGCACCACGTTAGCATCACTAAAGGTGCTGGGTGTACCACTCAGGACAAGCAGTACAAAGTATGACTGGCTCAAATCGGTCACAAAATTGTGCACTATGCCATCAAGCACTGAGAGAGGCAAGCCCAAGAAGGATCAGCTCAGCACGGTTCTATAGGCAGCTGGACTGAGGGGAAATATTCCACCAGTTTAAGCTACTTCCAATTCAGCGACATCCTGCTGGTGCAATCTCTGCTTTCAGCCTGGAGTGAGGCACTTCCTCTGGCTAAATGTGCTGCTGAAGAAACGTCAGATTCCTCCAGTGACCACTTGTTTTAAAGTGCTGTCCCAGGGCAGCTCAGCTAAGGCTGCAACAGGATGTGGGCAGTGCTCAGGCAGGTATTCTAGCTTTGCATCCAGCAAGAGTACTCTCCCTGACTTAATTAGCTCCTACAGTGAGGATGAGTTGTCTAGCACTCCTCATGCACTCGGCTGAACATAGCTTCTAGCAACCCAGACTGCACCTACCTCCCAGCCCCAGCAGCCACAGGAAGATCAGACAAGTTCATGGCCAAGTCAAAGTGACACGGCACACGGGACTCTCCTCTCTGCGTGGGTATCAAGGACTCTGTGAATGGCACGTGTACTTTGTGATGTATTTTTCCTTCCACTGGGGGAAGATCCTCGTGTGAGCCCCATTCCCACGCCAGGCACTGCTG